GCTCTTATCCAGAGCAATTAGGGTTAAGTGCCAAAACATATTTTTCACCTAGTCAGCTCTGGGATTTGAATCAGCTACCTTTCAGTTACTGGCCCTAGGCTAAGCTAGGCTACCTACACATGCATTTGAAACATGCATTTGCAACACTTTTTGATTGAATATGGTTATTTTAGTTTTAACTAGACAGTACATCCTACATTACCATTACACTGGCATACTAAAGTATGTGTTATCATTTCACCATTTATTTTCAAGTCCTCACTACCCTCGCATGATAACCGTTGTCCAGTTTGTGGTTGTGGTCCATTTAATGAAATGTTCCATTGCACAGCGGATAACAGAATGAACTAATGCATTTTTGTGTTAGGATAGGCAGTGGCAGCCCACTATCAGATAATTAACTTTCACAAATACACTGTGCCGTCTACCAAGCAGAGCAAGCCTGCTGTACAGTTAGAATAACTTGACTCTGCACACTCTAATTTCCACCCATCGTCGGAAAGACAAACAAATAAAGGCACATTTCATAGTTCTTGAGTAACCAAACTTTCAAATCCCTTTTTCGTCAACGAAACCAGCACGCAATTTCGCTATTTATACACAAATGAATGAATAATGAATGAATTGGTATGAAAACGGAAAGTTTGACGGAAGCGATGTCGTCTTCCTGTTATTTTGCTGCTTCCCCATTCAACAAGCCGAGCCCAGATGTTCCGAATTCCAACAGGAGGGCTAATGTTTCCACCTCAATCGCTTTTCATGACTGATGGCCTCATGCCGACACTGGCACAATTCAATATTCATACGCCTCCTTCTGTTTGGTTTCCACCGCATAGTGAGGTTTATTTTCATGTGTGCCGTTGCCACCGCGGCAGCGATCCGGTTCCGCTTTTAGCGCCGGGTGCCATTTGAACAAAACCATTTGTTTGAGTGTGCCGTTTTTATTAAGTGACAAGCTGGATCCCCCCTACCTTACTAATGTGTCTTGTGGGACATGGCGGCAGAAGGCAGCGGTTGGTGGTAGTGTGTGTGTGTATGTCTTAATGGGTAGACACATCTGGCCAGAGGATGGTTTGTTTTGATCCTGTATTTCAAACAACCTCTGAAACTCTGAGGAATAGGCAGTGGAGCACAATAACTGTTATCGATTCAGTACAGTACCTGGGCATTGGGGTACATAATACAACTTGGAACCTTGTATTTATCCTTCAAAAACGGAGGTGTAGGAAACTTGTATTAATTCCCTCCCAACGATGTGGCTTATTGGATAAAGATGACTTATTCCTTCAGGTTTTAAGAAAACATTTTTGGGCTGGTTATTCTACAATGACCATTTTAGCTTCAAGCCACAGTGCTGTTTCCATTAAGCTTACTAAGTGGTACTGTATCATTGAATGGATAGTCCATTTGCTTAATGGACACTTCCATGGACAATCTTTTCCCCTCTTCCTTCTGGAAGGTGGAGAAGACGGAGAAAACACTCCTCTTCCCTCCCATTCTGCAGTGCTCTTCCTCACTCTCTCTCCCACATGCTGGAATATTCTCACACCTCCTCTCCACCCGCTACTTGGGATAGTGTAAATATGTGTGTGTGTTTCTGTGTGTGGAGTATCGAGGGGAGGGGAGGCACGTAGAACAGAGTACTGTAACACAGTGCAATGCCGTATGGAAGACGAGAGACCATTATGTATTCTTTCTAAAGCAGTTCTGTCTTTTGTACAAAGTGCCCCTGTCCCCAGAGGCCCAGAGCTCAGACCTCACAGAGCAGTGCCACAGAGCATGAGTAATGCAGTCTGACTAACGCTGAGAATAGTCCCATAGAATTTGTATGGGGTTGAAGGGGAGGAGGGATGTGCTGGTCGGTTATCTCTAATTGCTTTGGACTTTTACCTATCAACTCCTAAAATATAATACAGTTATTGTGTTTATAATAATGTTATTAAGTTGTCTCCTTGTATTTGTTAATTAAGTAATTTAACGTGTTATGTTTTTGTGCTCAGATCACATAAGCAGTAACTGTAGCGAGGCTTGTATTATGAACTTTATTATGTGGGACAAGCACGGGAGATATTGACAGAAGAGCGTCGCAACCCCCTGAACAGTACAGTATTAAACATCCACAGTGAATATGTGTACTATTCCTTATCCAGTAATTAACAATAATTCGGGGGCATATCCCTTTTCAAGTAATCACTAATTACAATAAGAATTCCAGTTAATTTAAGGCGAGATTACCGATGAGCATGCAATGCAAATCAGTGAACATTTCTAATTAAACCTTGCTTCCTCCATCTCGCCTGGTCCTTTGTGAGTACACACTGTCGTTTCTCCACCAGCAACGAAAAGGCCTTTTTTTTATCACTAGTGTGCAGATGTTAAGCTGTTTTGTGCGGCTCAAAAGTGCTTGACAGTTAGGATTGCCATGTGAGTTGTGTTATGTTTATTTTGCCAAGGTGTGTGTGTGGCGGTGTGTGTGTGTTAGCCGCCCACTCTTTTTTTTTGTAGGAAAGGGATTCATAAAATAGGATCAACATTTTCATCATAGACACAGGTCCAAAAAGCTAATTAGTCAGAGAGAAGCTAGAGCTCATTCAAATGCTCACTCATTTACATTACTTTGCATATTGGAGTTATTCTTGACCATATAACGTGACCAGAAAAATGTCTCGACTCTAACTAGGGCACAGTTTTTACCTATTTGTTCATGTGGTCAGGATTAACTCCTGTCTCTTAACCATATTTTGATGATCTGATATCCAAGATTCATTATCTGTTGTATGAATACTGAAGTTTTTACCAGTTCCTTAGCAGTAAGAAAAAGTGATTCCTGCCACGATCAAACACCACCACCCTCTTGCCGCCATTACACCGCTTCCCCTCCTCTTTCTCCCTGGCCAATCCTTTGACGGCGACAGCTTCCATTTTGTTCGACTGGGCGAGGGTACGATCATTCATCAATATTTCCGAACTGATACGGCGTTGCTTAAAGACGTCAAACGAGGTTAATGGCGTCTTTAAACGCTTCCTTTCTTCCCCTGTACGTCAAACAGGAGCGGGTATTTGTCAGACTGCCCCCCAAAGTGATAGGATTAATTATAGCCCTTCCCTTTCCGCAACCCTTTTCCCTCCGCCCTTCACACCCACCAAGTGAAAGATTCGGAAATGGGCCCTTTCATGCAAATGAAATTGAAAATGTCACTCAGTATAATTGTTGCAACTGAGCGGTCCTGGACCGGATGTCTACTGTGGAAAAGAGGTCTGAACAGGCCCTTTTCGACCTCTCGATTCATACTCTTAAATGGTCTGGCAGTTAGAACACTACCCGTGGCGAAGGCTCAATAGCTTGAAATGTTTTTGCCATTGTGAACGGAGTCTAAGCTCTGCTCTCAGATCATTTTGAGGAGAATGTTTCGGGGGTATGTTTGGCTGGACGCTAAGCCAATGTCAAAAAACTGGTCATGAATGTAAACTTTTAGAATAACTTATTCAGGCTTATTCTCCCTGAGGAGAATTTGGCATAAAACATCATAATTTCTTCCTTTCCACAAAGCTTTGAAAATGCATGTGGTCACAAAGTTATGATATACTTTTTTCCAAATCAAATCAGTTTAAAACCAGACTGACCTCTGAATGATTACTGTAATTTTGCCAAAACAGTGGCCATATTCTGTGACGGGTGCTCTCAATGTGCATTTGCCCTGTTGCATCACGCCTCCGCAACTTCTCTAGAAAAGGTAGTTAAAAGGCAGTCCCAAATCACACAGCCCTAATCAAATAATTAGGCAAAATAATGGGGACTCCAAACTCTCACACACACTGGGCTTTCTGTTGTGCTAATATGAATTGAGAAAGCAATGTGTGCTTTTCGTAGCTAGCCACAGTAACAAGCTCTGTACAGCAGCTGTCTCTACAGCAACATCAGACATATTTTATAGGTTAATCTCCCATAATGCTCAGAGATGGATCCCAACTGATCCCAACTTTTGAGTCAGCCATGACCTCATTGGCAGATCAGACTATTACTTAAAATGAGCTAGCTGGGGGGAGTGGCTAGAATGAATATGACCACATTTTCCTCATGAGGTCAGGTGGAAACCTTTTTAGATTAGAATAAAACCTTTACTATCCAAGATTTGCCATTCGTCTGACTCCCATTAGACATTAAGGTAATCACATAAAAAAACATCACATTTAGCAGTATGAGCAATAAAGTGTGCAGGCTACAGAGGAGGCTGGGAAGATCCTGCTATAGCCCAACGGCTATGTTAAAAAGTACTTAACCCACCTTCCCCCTTTTAAGATCCAGCAATAAAAACCCACTGCCAGTCGTGAAAGTCTCTCTGCTACACATGTCCCCGGACACGGTGTTCTTAAGAGCGGCAATGGCTTTTCAGTCACCAAATTATTAATGCTGTGTCTACCCAGGTTAAATTGAGTGGGATCCTTTGAAGCGTGGCTTCTTTTTCATTAAACTTAGTGAATACGGACAAGGTTATATAATGGCCCGCTGGAGAGTGGAACAGCGCTAGCGCAGGCACAACATCACTAACCTTTTAGCTTGCACCGGGCATTACATTTTTCATTTGTTTGCAGGCGACAGCTTAGCAGCGGATTAGCAGAGCTAGCCTCTGTATTAATGTAGGTAGATTCAAGGCAAGCACAGCGAAGAAGCTATTGAGGCGCCTATCCAAAGTGATGACCAGGCATGATGGGTAATTGTAAGTGTTTTTATTTTTTTTGCCGTCATCCTCTCCTAAAATATTCTGACCATAGACAAGCACAAAATGTTGTTCTTTTAAAACTCAAAAGCAATTTCTTTCCCCTTGTCATACCCATTGGCCATAGATTTTCTCAGACACCCAAATGGCATTACTACCAGATTTCTTGACAGGACAATATTTGATGTCACACACTTGTCTTGCTAAACGGCGACTTCAATGTAAATAGTGTAATTTTACATTTGTCCCTACTAAGTCAGGCAGGGAGACGAAAAAACAAATATGGTGGTACAAAGCTCTTTATTTTGTGTTGGCCAGAACACGGAGGACCTGACTGGAGAAGATGCAGCGCTGTCTCCCTTAGGTTTCTGTCACGCCCCCTCTGCATTTAAATCTAACTTTAGACAACAGCCAGTAGCAGTGGCATCATCGTCTGCCTCTCTCCTGAGCTCTCCCTTTTCATTCGCTGAGCATAACAACAGATCATAATATGTTTAAAAAGTGACAGGAGTAGTTAGAAGGCACTGGGTCTGACACTGAGTCAGATATTTTCTGCTCCTCCCTAATCCCCAATGGAAAGGTTAGGGTAATCTGATCTTAGATCTGTGATGAGGGACAACATCTGGGGGTTTGATTATGATATCTGCCACCCTTGTCTCTGAAAACACAATTTCCTCAGTGTCACACCACAATCATTCCCCATGGTGAGATGACTTTTCCCCTCCCTCTAACCGCCATCCTGAGTCCCTGTACATGTCATCATGGTCCATCACAGCCCACGCAGGGAGAGGCGTAGAGCCGTAATAGATGGCCCTCCGAGCAAACAGCCCAACAGCATATCAATTACCCATCATGCCCTGCTCAGCCAGACGCCACGATGCAACCACTCCCCAGCCCAGCAGATGATAAGATAACGGGCAAACGCAGATATAATGGCACTTTTTCTGTTGCTTACAAATTGTGTGCTGTGGACCCGGCAGCACACCTATCGGATCCTGTCTGATGTGTGTGTGTGTGCTGATTTCCCAGTCACATCTGTCAATGGAGGCCCAGCTGCCAGCCTGTTGATGTGCTCTTTTCATTACAGGCAACACGTCTTATGTCATTTCTTTATAAACCCTTCAGGTTAATTTGTTCAGTACTGCTGACGATCACACTGATGACATGACTCAGCCTCTCCTGGTATTATTACAGCTGTGTGGCCCCTAATGGTCCACTAAAGTGATTGAAAAAGGCAAACAGTTGTTGGGCACAGGGACAGATGGAGTCACACCTCATACTCCATCTCGCCTCTCAGGCTGAGCTGGGATGTCTCACACTGCCTAGCCTCTTAGAAAAAAGGGTTACAAAAGGGTTCTTCGGCTGTCCCCAAAGGAGAGAACCCTTTTTGGTTCCAGGTAAAACTATTTTTGGTTCTAGGTAGAACTATTTTGGGTCCCAAAACGGTTCTACTTGGAACGTAAGGGTTCATTTGAATCCTGTTATGGTATCAAGACCACTTCTGAGAGCAGATTACCTCAGTGTGTAATCCCTCGCATGTGTTGTGTGTCCATGAGGCCATATGTGTACAATAAATTAATTCCTTGTAAAAGAGAGGATTGCAATTATTTGAAAAGATCAACAATGAATCAAGCGATTCATTTCGTGGAATTAGATGCTTAATCAAACAATGGCCCCAAATAACGTGGGTACGAGGTGCTGATTCTGAGCAACATAAAAAAAATAAGGATTCATTTCCACACTGTTCCCATCTCCTATTCTCACTCTCTCCTCCCCTTTACATTTCTGACCCTCATTGCCTTTACACTTGACTATTTGTGCTGAATCGTGAGCACCAATTAGGGCTTGGAGAACCCTCACATGGCCAATCAGAGCCTTGCCAGTGCCCTTATCAAGTGCATGTCTCATTTGCGCCGGATGCAAGCCTGATGCCAAGTGGGTGGTTTTCCAGGGATTATCAATGTGAAGTAGCGAGATGCTCTCCACACACGTGAGGTCATGGCTGTTATGTGGGATAGTTATCCAAAAGTTAGGTGATTCTATAAGAGGGGGTTATAAAATCCTCCTCCAACCCCTCTTCCTGGAGACTCTGTCTTTGAAGCCTATTTGTGATCTAGCACACCTGATTCTACTACTTGATTCCCATGAGTACCTTGATTAGCTCAATCAGGTGTGTTGGAGCAGGGCTGGAACAAAAGCCTGCATTCCCAGAAGCTCTTCGGAAGGAGGTTTGGCCACCCCTGTTCTGGAAGATTCTTAGGTGGAAAGCTGGTTATAGCACTTCTATTTAGCGAGGCGAGCTCAGTCCAATGTCAGTGTTAGCGTTAGCATGCCAGCTGCAAAGAGCCATGTTGAGCATCAATCATCGCCTGACTTCTGTTTCTCTGTAATGTTTTGGGAAATGGTGGCCTCACTCATTAGAGACAAAATGGGGGGGCAGGGGCCAGGAGATGTACTCTATCTACACAGCAGATAACATGGGACATGGACTCATCTTAAAATGTGAATATTTTGAGTTCTGAAAACATCTGACAAACCTTGATTTGGGAGTGAACTATCACTTTAAGACAGTAGCTGGGGATAAGGCATATTCCTTTGTTCAAAAGAGAAATAAATAGTTAATAACTTAACAACAAGGATGGGTGGTGGAAACAAATATCACATTTCCTTGTCTCACAGTGCCACATGGCACAAAGCGACTTATTTGCCCATTTGTTAATTAGCATAACACTAGCAGCTTGCAACTGCCGTAAACTGATTCCTTTGTCTAACTTTTTAAAAGGAATGGTAGAGCGTGATAATGTAGAGTGTGAGAGCATTGCTGGAAATGCATATAAAAACCATATGTGGTTCCATATAGCTCCAACCTTATTTCCAGTGTATTAGTGCAGCAAACTGCTTAGTGTTAAGTGCTTCATTTTTCATACTTGTATGGGATCCATGTTATGTATAATTAATGTGTGGATGGGCCTGCCTCTGGAGGTACCTTAGATAAATATTTAAACACCAAAGTACCCACTACAATGTGGTACTCTCTGGCACTCCGGCACTCCCTCCTATTCACTACACAGTGCAGAACTTCACACACAAGCATAGAGCATGGTGGCCTCGCTCATTACAGACAAAATGGAGGGGTCCCTTAAAGCAGCATACACATTATGCATTGCGTGATATGAAACAGCTTGTCTATATAGATGTGGCTAGAAGCGCTGAATGAAATATATCTATATAATATGACCAGCTCACTGTAATGTTCAGGATACCAGTGACTCATGTTGATACACAACAAGAGAGGGAAAAGGTTACTGTGCCATTCTGTAGAGTGGGGCTTCGATTCACCTGGCTGCTAGCTTAGCCTACTTCCCCTTTAGCGACTGTTTCTCTTGCTAATGATTGCTAAATGACATCAAATCAAATTGTATTCGTCACATGCTTCGTAAACAAAATGTGTGGACTAACAGTGAAATACTTACGGGCCCATCCCAACAATGCAGAGAGAAAGAAAACAGAGAAATAATAGAAAAGTAAAACACGTAATAATAAAAGTAATAATCGATACACAATGAGTAAAGATAACTTGGCTATATACACAAGGTATCAGTACCGAGTCGATGTGCAGCGGTACGAGGTAATTGAGGTAGATATGTACATATAACTAGGAATAAAGTGACAGTCACCAGTAATATTGTGCAACTGTGTGAAGCCTCAGCAAAATAGCGTAACAACAAATCCATACCTTAATGTCTGATTCCCAATAATAAACTCAAAGTACCTTTAATAGGATTTTGATTGGGTAGGTTGGTTGTCTTTCTGATGGTAGCATCAGGTTAGGTGGTAGTTGACAGCTTTTGTTATTGTGGTTAGCTTTGAATCAGTCCGGCTAGGAGCTTGCCAGCTGTGCAGGCCTTTATTAACACATCTCAGACTTGAAGGAATTGTGTGTATTTATTGTGGAAACATGTAGCTTGAACCTTATCCTCGTCCTGTTTTTACTTCCTGCCTCGTATACATTGTGGACGTTGACAAAGAAAATAATTTCTGCTGTCATAGTGTTTCAAATGAAACCAGACATTTTTCTGTCAGTCAATGTAAACATTTGCATGGCAAGGGTTGGCCTTGACTGGCTTGCTTGACTGTACATACTAGGTACAATGAGCACAGCTTGTGGTTTACTCAATGTCAACCTTCACCTTCGAAAAGGATCAACCTCCAACGAGATTGGAGTATGATAGTCAGCAGGAAGATGATGGAATTAGCATTTCTACCATAACAGAATATGATAAACAGCTGCTGTTTGACTTGTACACTCACTGGGTGTTCTAAAGTGGATTATTTTTCAGTTGGTATTTTCAACATGAATTTCCATTGAAGTATGCTCATGAAATGACTGAATACATCCAACAGTGTATTTTCAGTCCATAGGCATACACACTGTTTAAATGTCTATTCGTCACTAAACGTTTGCCTCTAATCTTTTATTCATCCACTTTATATATGTAGTCCCTATACTGTATTGATTCCTCCACTTTATATATGTAGTCCCTATACTGTATTGCACTCTAAATCGATGACTTGATTTACAACACTAGAGTTTATTTACTACAAGGATTATATCTGTATTCCTACTTCTCTTGATTACATCCTTATTCAAGTATCTGATCTTATGTTTCCACTCACATTGAGAAAGCAAAGCAGGCTCCAAACAGAGTCTGGCTTGACCTCCAAAGACAATCCTCTTAGTGATACCGTGCAAGTGCTGAAATCTGCAACTGTGTGACCTTCTGGTGTGGGCACGTTGATAAGGGAGAGAAATCCCTTGCTCTCTCCAACACTTAGCACCTTCACTAACTCTTTATGTCCTCTCTCGCTCTCCCTCCCTCACTTTCCAGCACCACCAAAGTTTTTAAGAACCCCCAATGACCAAACGGGCGTGCAAGGAGGTGTGGCATCCTTCATCTGCCAAGCAACGGGAGACCCACGCCCCAAGATCGTTTGGAACAAGAAGGGGAAGAAAGTCAGCAACCAGAGATTTGAGGTATTAGGTCTATTGTTCTGATGTAAAATGCTCGACAAAAATGGGAATGCTCAACAGTGCTTTTGGTCCTCCCCCAAACCCCTAACACATAATCCATCCCCCCGCTCACCCAAACTGCCTTTGCCACCACGCATTAGCAGGCTCTAATAATCACGCAGCCATCTAACATGCATGAGTTATAATGAGCAAGTACACAGAGATCTGGTGACAGATTTGTAATTAAAGAAAGAAAGGATGAAAGATGGAGAGAGAAAGAAAGAAAAGGGGGAAGAAATGGTGTGCCCCAGATACCTATATTAACATCATGCTGCATTTGGCTGCCTTATGCAAAACGAGAGCAGTGTAGCTCTGTGGTTCAAAGCTCTTTTGCTTCGTGGCATCTTTATCTAAATGCATGTCCCCCTCCCTGCTTGGTTTCGCTGCAAGCTTTGATTTGTCCTTCTCTTTAATCGCCATGACAAATAACACATCAGCTCCGAACAGTGATAAGATTTCTATTAATTTCTGTGTCATTCCCTTTCGGAGTGTATCATGGTCCCCCCCCCCCCCCCCCCCCCCCCTATTCTTGCCATACTACTACTCAGCAGTAGTGGCTTATCTGGGTTTGGAGAACCTTCTCGCCTCTTTGGCATCTCATACGCCGGGCAGAAATCGAATCTTATCAGAGTGCATCGCATTTGCGCCGCTCCACGTGCTGAATGCTAACGCACTAGCTTGCTAACTCTCCTTTCGCCGCTGCAAACCTTGCTTGCTTGCAACCACCCTCATTCCCCCACTCACGTGCCGCCGCCTCCTCATCCCTAACAAAGCCCATTTCCTTTTACAGAAACACTGAGACTTTCTCAATCCCATTTTCTTTCTCTTTGAGTTTGAAATTGGGAAGGGAGCACTTTTACTTACCATCATCACATGCTCTTGCAATGATTGCCCAAATGTGCCCTAGTCGCTTGGCCACTGAACCGTCAAGGTGTTTTGTTAAACTAACACGTGAAATGATATGCTCTGAACTGTACCAATGAGTATCGAGGCCGGCCTCTGTACGTGTGTCTGGGTGTGTGCTTGTGTGTCTGTCTGCGTGTGTGAGGTTCTTACCAGTCCATTTTTGTATTTACACCTACCTAAAAATTCTTAAAAATGAGTTATGATACAGGGCTTTCTAAAAACAGTGAGTATACAGCATGCAACGATAGCTGTAAAAGCTACAAAACACCTGTTTGTGAACATTTTATGTGTCGTCCGTCCAAAACAATCGGTCATGTCTTTTTGTACAACTATCACGTCATGGTGATAACAATTGTTCGTTACTGTTTATCGAACCACATTTAATTGTTTGTTAATGTTCTGTCCCGTTTGATATATTTCAATGTGATGCATTTCTGGGAGAAATAGTGTGTTAACTTTAAGAGTGGGGCGAACCAAAATTTACATAGAATATAAAACAGACATAAAAGTTAAAGTAATTATTTCCGACTGGCCAGTAGATACTTTCCCATTCTTAAAGTTAGTTGTCCACTTTGGTTATCTTTCCAATAATTAGTACACAAGATAAACTCATATTTCGGATCGAAAGTTGATGTCGGAGAGCTGTGAGCCATCTTTTAATTGATATTATGTTTAATCTTCCATTACATCACTATATAATAATAAGCTCTCTGAACACAGCTTCTCTGGTAATAACTATACCAGTGGGTAGCCAATCATAAACACGAACAACAGTCTAAGGGCATAACTAGCCATGAAAAACATTGATCAATAGTGACAATGATAACATTATTATCTACATGTTATAGACATGGGATCTTTTCCTCGTAAACTCACAATGCGATACACACGTGGGTTCTGTATCAATTACTTAAAAGTCCATCCTCTCCTTGTCTCCTCCCCTTCACCTGCACTTAACTGAAAATACATGCTTCAGGCTGACTTTCACCTGGTCAGTTGTTTCAAGTCAGAGCAATAAAGGAGAGAAGGTGAGTGGTGGATGGACTTTTTAGACAATTGAGAAAGAGCACATATACTCCCAAACACTCACCCAAATAATGTGCTTATATTAGGAGCTGATATTAGGATATAATATTAGTGTATACTATCCATAGCAGCTTTCATAGTTTTCTAACGTGTGTTAGAAAACAGTGTGTTTGGCACCATCAGTGTTGTAGGCCAAATGTGTTTATACTCTGCTGCAGGAGTGGTTGGAATTGCTCTGCGCAAGCTTCCGTCACCGATTGGGAACAAAAAAACTCCTTTAACATATCTTGTTTCTCGCACCTGCAGGTGATTGAGTTCGATGACGGCTCTGGCTCGGTGTTGAGAATTCAGCCCTTGCGTACGCCCCGAGACGAAGCCATATACGAGTGCGTCGCCTCCAACACTGTTGGAGAGCTGAGTGCAACTACGAGACTCACTGTTTTACGTGGTAGGTGCTCCTTTCTCCGCGACCGAAATGCTAACTCTTGTTCCTTTAACTCTCAGTTTCTTCAACTAACCAGGTAAGCTAGACTTTCTTTGTTTCTATGTCTGTGCCGTCTTCTTTCTTTTCCCTTTGAACACATATAGTTGAATATCAGGTTTTGGTTCCACTCATGTCGAATGTACTGACTTAATTAGAGTTACTCCATTAGAAACTTAGCCTAAATAAGTTGGATTTTCTAAATCAATTAACACGTTTTCATACATTTTCCTGACACGATAATTAAGATGCTGGTTGAGTTATGCAGCGTAGTTTCTATTTCTTGCTCTTGGTGTTCTAATGGAAAGTTGAGAGATATTCAAATCACATTTCATTTGGCTTATCTGCTTCTGCTTTAATATTTACTTAACTGGAGAGAAAGGAATGGCTCTTTGAATCAGGTTTAAAACTGATAAAACCACAGAAATGGCTCAAATTTAAGTAGCTCATTCCATCATATAGGTCATGAATTATCATGTTTTACCTCCTCTTGTAATTTGACTGTATAACTAAATGAGTGTCCTATATTTGGTTGTAACTTTGTAATACTTGCAGTTGCTTGAAATATATGCACTGTCATAGGAAGTGCAAATTCACAATAGTTTACTTTGAATACAAAAATTGGTCGCATATCTGAAGTTAATTGCTGGCACCACAATCATAATCACTAGCACATACTGTACATATAAAAAGCAAATGCTTATCTTGATTCCACACAACATCCTATTGAAACGCTAAAGCACACTGTCCCGGGACTCAAAAAGACAGTGTGGTTTTAGACCTATCTCTCTAAAGCAGACTTATTATGTTCTGAATGGAGAAAATGGCTCTAACATGCCTTGGCGCTCTGAATGAGGTGTGCTCCATTATCCCCCACAATTACACAGCATGGAAAATGAGTTCCTATTGAGTGGGGAGCTCCCCAGCTAAAGGAAAGAGCTGGCTCGGCGACTCTCTGAAGCGCCTTGTCATCTCTTTCTTATCTCCAATGCCGAGGCGAACACAAGGCCCCTGGCACGGTCCCCGGGGGCCCACTGAAAGGGGAAGATGGCAGATTCTCATGCAGTCTCTCACCATGTTTACACTATGGTGTGTGTGTGTGTTTATGAATTTGTGTGGAAACACACAATAACATGCAGGCACATACTGTATACACACACACACACACATACTCACACACTTACACTGAGACAGGCGAGGGAAATTAGTGTCACTGCATCTGCTTCACAGAACCTATGCCTCTCAGCTCCACAGCTAAGGCATTACATTTTAGTCATTTAGCAGACACTTTTTTTTTTGCATTAGCATGTACAGTGCCTTCAGAAAATATTCACACTCGTTGACTTTCTCCACATTTTGTTGTGATTGTGGATTAAATTGTGATTTTGTGTTACTGGCCTACACACAATACCCTATAATGTCTAAGTGGAATTATGGATGGTGTATCAGTCACTACAGAAATACAGGCGTCCTTCCTAAATCAGTTGCTGGAGAGGAAGGAAACCACTCAGGGATTTCACCTTGAGGCCAATGGTGGTTTTAAAACAGTTACAGAGTTTAATGGCTATGATAGGAAAAAACTGAGGATGGATCAACGACATTGTAGTTACTCCACAATACTAACCTAAATGACAGTGGGAAAAGAAGGAAGCCTGTACAGATAAAAAAATATTCTAAAACATGCATCCTGTTTGCAATAAGGCACTAAAGTAAAATTGCAAAAAATGTGGCAAAGAAATTAAATCCAACACAACACATCACTGAGTACCCCTCTTCATATTTTCAAGCATGGTGTTGGCTGCATCATGTTATGGGTATGCTTGTCATCGGCAAGGACTAGGGAGTGGGAGACAAATTCACCTTTCAGCAGGACAATAACCTAAAACACAAGGCCAAATATACACTGGAGTTGCTTCCAAGACGCCATTGAATGAATATTCATTCCATTTCACTTTGTCCCTGTAGTGGGTGATTTTGGACAGAGTCAAGCGCAGGAGGGTAAATCACAGAATATATGGTTTATTCAGGAACACAGTGGTACGCAGCAATGCATAAAACACTCCAGTGCGATAAATACGGCGCACTGGAGAAAAACAAGGCATACGGGTGAATATCCCGGCCATACAAAATAAAAAGTAGCTCCACCGAACTAGAGTCAACTCTACAATACCTAATCACACACAAAGACAGGGGGGCATAGGGAACACTTATACAGGTGATGGGATATGAACCAGGTGTGTGTAATAAACAAGACAAAACAAATGGAATAATGAGATGAGGAGCGGCAGTGGCTAGAAGGCCGGTGACGACGAACGCCGAAGCCTGCCCGAACAAGGAGAGGAGGCAGCTTTGGAGGAAGTCGTGACAATACCCCCCTCCCCTTGAAGCGCAGCTCCAGCAGTGCGCCGACACCTGCCTCGGGGACTACCAGGAGGACGCGGAGCAGGGCGAGCCGGGGGACGACGGTGGACATCCCGCAACAGGGTGGGATCGAGGATATCCCTCACCCAGACCCAGCACCGTACCCCTCCCACTCCACGAGGTACTGAAGGCCCCCCACCCGATGCCTCTAATCCAGGATGGAATGGACAGAGTACGCCGGGGCCCCCTCGAGTGGGCGGAGGGACCTCCCGCACCTCAGACTCCTGGAGTGGACCAGCCACCACCGGCCTGAGGAGAGTCACATGAAACGAGGGGTTAATACGGTAATCAGGAGGGAGTAGTAACCTATAAGTAACCTTGTTTATTCTCCTTAGGACTTAGATCGGCCCCACAAACCACGGGCTCAGCTTCCGGCAGGGCAGGCGGAGGGGCAGATTCTGGGTCGAGAACCAGACTCGATCACCCGGTACAAAGACTGAGGCCTCACTACGGTGGTGGTCAGCATTGACTTTCTGGCAACGCACGGCGCACTGGAGGTGGACGTGGGCAGCGTTCCACGTCTCCTCCTCGCACCGAAACCAGTCGTCCTCTGCAGGAGCTTCGGTCTGGCTCTGATGCCACGGTGACAGAACCGGCTGATACCCTAAGACACATTGAAAGGGAGTTAGGTTAGTGGAGGAGCGGCGGAGAGAGTTCTGGGCATATTCGGCCCATGGCAAGAACAACGACCACTCCCCCGGCCGGTCCTGACAGTAGAACCGCAGGAACCTATCCACATCCTGATTCACCTGTTCCACCTGCCCATTAGACTTGGGGTGAAACCCAGAGGTCATGCAGACCGAGACCCCCAGACGTTCCATGAACGCCTTCCAGACCCTGGACGTAAACTGGGGACCCCGGTCAGACACGATGTCCTCTGGCACCCCGTAGTAGAAGACGTGCATAAACAGAGCCTCTGCAGTTTGCAGAGCCATGGGGAGACCGGGCAGAGGAAGGAGGTGGCAGGCTTTAGAAAAGCGGTCCACAATAACCAGGATGGTGGTGTTACCCTGAGGGAGGGGAAGATTGGTTAGGAAGTCAGTAGACAAGTGGGACCATGGCCATTGTGGAACTGGTAAGGGATGTAACTTACACACTGGGAGGTGCCTAGGTGCCTTACTCTGGGCGCACACCGAGAAGGAGGAGATATACACCCTCACGTCCTTAGCCAAAGTAGGCCACCAGTACTTCCCGGTCAGACAGCGTGCTGTACAACCGATACCTGGATGACCAGAGGAGGGAGACGTGTGTGCCCAATAGATAAGACGGTCACGGACAAGAGACGGCACGTACCGCAGGCCAGCTGGGCACTGAGGTGGAGATGGCTCTGTGCATAGCGCCCACTCTATGTCCCTGTCCACCGCCCACACTACCGTCGCCACAATGCGGGATGCCGGGAGTATGGGGGTGTTGTCTATGGGCCTCTCCTCTGTGTCGTACAGCCGTGACAGCATGTCTGCCTTCACGTTCTTAGTACCTGGTATGTATGACAACATGAAATCAAACCGGATGAAGAACAAGGCCCACCTGGCCTGGCGAGGGTTCATCCTCATTGCCCGGATGTACTCCAGGTTACGGTGGTCAGTCCAGACAAGGAAAGGGTGTTTCGCCCCCTCGAGCCAGTATCTCCACGCGGTCAGGGCTCTGACCACAGCCAACAGCTCCCGATCACCAACGTCGTAGTTCTGCTCCGCCGGGCTGAGCTTCTTCGAGAAGAAGGCACAGAGGGGCAGAGCTTGGGTGGCATGCCCTAGCGTTGGGATAAGACAGCGCCTACCCCTACCACGGATGCAACCACCTCCACTACAAATGGCAATGATGGATCGGGATGGTCCAGTACCTGGGCTGAGGAGAACAGAACCTTCAGGTTACTGAAAGCCCTGTCAGCCTCAGTAGACCAGTGGAGCCGGGACAGCCCACCCTTCAACAGAGAGGTGATGGGAGCTGCGACCTTGCCAAAGCCCTGGATAAATCCCTGATAGTAATTGGCAAAGCCAATGAAGCGCTGCACCTCCTTCACCATGGTTGAGGTCGGCCAATTCCACACGGCGGAAATGTGGTGTCCCTCCATCTCCACACCTGAGGTGGTGATGTGGTATCCGAGGAAGGAGACGGACTGTTGGAAGAACAGACACTTTTCTGCCTTGGCATATAGGTAATTCTTCAACAGTCGGCCCAGCACTTTGCGAACCAGGGACACATGCTCGGCGCGCGTAGCGGAATACACCAGAATGTCATCGATGTAGACCACCACACCACGATCCAGCATGTCCCGAAACACCTCGTTCACAAAGGACTGGAAGACTGATGGAGCATTCATCAACCCGTACGGTATCACCAGGTATTCATAATGCCCCGTGGTTGTACTGAATGCTGTCTTTCACTCGTCCCCTTCCCGAACACGCACCAGTTTGTACGCAGTCCGGAGATCTAATTTCTTGAAGAAGCGCACCCCATGCATTGATTCGATAACAGAGGAGATGAGGGGTAGAGGGTAGCTATAGCGAATGGTTGTTTGATTAAGTGCCCAGTAATCAATGCAAGGGCGCAGACCTCCGTCTTTCTTCTTCACGAAAAGAAACTTGGAGGCGGGCGAAGTGGAGGGACGTATAAACCCCTGGCA